GGGCACGGCAACACCACAGGACAATTTACACAGCAGACAGAGCATTAAGTTTCTTGACAAGCTTCCGTTGCCATGGTTTAATAATCCAATGCTACAGCTAGGTACACTGCCCTCACCTGGTCTGCCACATTGTTTGGAAAAAGGTCGTTAAAGATTCCTTTTCATCAATGTGATTAAGACCCCAGGTCTAAGTTTCACTGGACATTCCATGCTCCATTCCAGAGCTCTGACTCAAACAAAGAAGTGTGCCTCTGAATCACTCACTATAGCCATGGGCATCTTGCCATCAGGGAGATATTGTAGCAGGGACTGCTGTCCAATCCAGGTCTGTCATGCATTAAAAAAAAAAAAAAAAAAGGGTAGGAAAGACCTACATGAATACATGGGAGTTCTAAGGGAATGTATTTGGATGGTTACAGAGGGATGAAGAGAAAACAGACATGTACCAGAGAAAAGGCAAGAAAAACACAACTAAAAGAAGAGACAGAGGGGAAACAAAGAAGGACTGAGATATTTTGGACAAATTAACCAGCAAAAAGCAAAGATTTTGCAGACAATGACACAGCAGCCTGGTCATGCCCGTTCAAACAGCACTGTGGAAATCGACGCTTGGCTCCACAGCGGGAAAGGCAACACCAGGGGCCTTATTGCTGAGGAATGCTGTGCCGAGCCGGCAGCGCCATCAGGGAAGCCTGAAACGCCCCAGCGTGGTCAGCCTCCTGAGCAAGGAGCCGTGAGGGTCGCCAGGAGTTACCTGCAGGTCATCGTAGAGGCTGCCGCTGAGGTACATGTCCCGCAGGGGCATGTCCGGCAGCTTGGCGCGCAGGAAGCTGCGCAGCTCCGCGCAGATATCCACGGCCGCCTGCTTGGCCCGGGCCTGCTCCTCCGCCGGGATCGCCACCCGCCGCCGGTAGTACGCCAGCAGCTTCTCCTGCAGGGACAGGCGGAGGCGCGACTTCTTCAGCTCCACCTGACTCCTCCTGGCAGACGGCTTGGGCTTTGTGGGTCGAAAGAAGTCTGCAAGACAGAAGGAAAAGTGTTGAGGTTGCAGCTGACCTCGCTGCGAAGCACTGCGCAGAACAGAATCCGCAGCGCGGAACTGCGCTCTGCCAGGCCTCAAAAAGCCCTTGGCACACATTTTGAAGGCTTGACGCAGGTACCGCTCCAAAGGGGTGTGCTGAGGAACTTCAAAACGTACTGGTAAGAGCATCAAAAGGGATGAAAACAAGTTACTAGATTTGAAATTTAGCCAGACTAATATTTTGTGCAAGGATGTAATTTTAATGGCTACACGGGCTCAATTTCATCTCAGCTCAATTTCATCAAAAATTCAGTGCTGTTACCAGTTCAAAAGCTTTCATTGTGATGCCAGATCAGTGAATAAAACACTTTTGAACAACTACCATGATCTCTTTGAGTTTTTAACATCAAAACAGATTATTACAAATTACCAGTGAAACCCAGTCCTGACTAGCATGTGAGATCAGAGGAGACTGTGCCACCTGGAAATGAAATAGTTGTTGGGAGTCTGATCAGCACAGTTATCAGGATGATGAGCTGACAGATCCTGGGGCCATCTCAGCTCAGGCCATCATAGCTCCAGTGACACCCCCCTGAAACCTTCACTGGAAAAAGACCAGAGAGCCCACTCAGAGGCACAATGCAACAACACAAGGTTTACATTGCTATCTGCATTACTAAACAATGTCTGACCTGCACAGATTCTCTGAGTCCCTTTTTTTTCTGACTGGTTTCCCAAAAGAGTAAATCAATGCTTCCCATCCGTTTCAGGTTTCACTTAACATGGACAAAGAGTTTGAGAAGTTAACGATGAGAATTAAAGGGGAATTGCAGATCTAAGAGAACTTTGGAAAGGCTAACTAAGGGGATCAGGAGAAATCCCCAAGTCAGTGGCCCCATTAAAGCAACTGGCTGTTGCCAATTTTTATTTGATGATTTGTTTGATGATTTGGCCACACAGCACAGGAGGAATGGCTGACCAAGCTGTACACAAAGCCATCTATCCCAGCCTCAGCAGCTGCTGTCTCTTGTCCCACTGGGTTCTTTTGGACAGATTTGAGCTTTTTTTGTATAAAGGAAATAATGCACTAAACCATAGGGAACTGTATTTCATTGCCTATTTATTAAAATAACTATTTTTCCATACTGAGTTTTAATTTACTTCTAATTGAAGAATTTAAGACACCATCATCAATGTTTTTATTACTGAGCCCATAGGCTTGGGGACTCCAATCAAATGATCTAAACCCCCTTTAACACAGCTGTCTAGTTTTTAATGTTTCCTCAGCAGAAAACCTACTGCCATCCCAAAGATAACTTCCTTTAAAATAACCTGGAAATCAAGTTAATAGCTTGATTCTGATTTTTAGTTTAAATCTCCAAGTATAAATCTCCTGAAATGAGTGATCAGGGATAGAAAGTAAAACCACTGAGAAAAAAGAACCAACCACATGTGGTGAAATGTGGCTGGATTCTAAATTACTGATTATCCTACCCAGAAAGAAAACTACAGGACACTTCCTATAGACTACTAAAGAGAAACAAAGTGATAAGAAGCACTAAACAGGGAAACATTGATCCAGAAATTATTTGGAAAATGGTAGCAATAATACAGGAAATACTGTTATGAATTGCTAGTACATTCAGAGCTTGAATACTGCCCCCTTAAAAAGATGCAAACAAACCAGAGTGACCCAAAGAAACACAGCAGAGTGCTTGAAACAAATGGAATAGCTTCCTGTCAGGCAAGATTAGATATTCAGATTGAAAGAGGAAAAATTAGGGAGAATAAAGCTTAACACCATGAAGTCAGGAGAGGATGGAAGAGTGCAAACAGATGACCATTACTGACTAGCTCCCAATGTCAGTTCTGATTCTTGAAGTTACCAATGGACCTGCTTAAAAGAAAAACATAAAAATCCCAGGCCAGACAGGGTATTTCCTTCGCCTGCATTCCATCAAACAAATACAGGGTTTATAGGCCTGGATGACTCTCTGATGCAGGAGGACGACCATGCCTCTTACCGTTGTCTGGTGCTGAAGGATCAGTGGGAAGGGTCTGCAGGGAGCGGCTGATGCTGGTCTTCATGTCCGGGGTCAGCAGGCGCGAGGAGGAGCCCAGCCAGTTTGGCTCTTCCCAGCTTCTCTTTCCCGACTGGTTCAAGCGAGTGGGGCTGCTGGGAGCACTGATTGCCCTGTCGTACATCTAAACCGGCAAGAGTTTGAGTCACCGAGGGCCCAGCTGGCATTTTACCCGGGCCACCGCCAGCACCGCGCTCCCGGAGCCGTGCCCGGTGCCGGCCGCGGCATTCCCTCCGTCACTCACCCGCTTGACGGCCAGCGTGGCGATGCCCAGCATGGCGGCGCCGCCCACGCCCAGCACCAGCCGCGCGTTGGCCAGCACGAAGTCGATGGCGGTGCCGATGCCGTTGTCATCCTTCTTCCCTCTGCGCTGCCCGGCGCCTGCCATCTTACCTGCGAGGAGCGGGAGCGTTACACGGCGGGACGGAACGCGCGGCCCTGGCGGCTCGGCGCCTTCCCCCACGCCGCACGGCCGCTGCTGCTCCCGGCTTTTACCACGGGAAGGGACCAGCCAACGCTGCACCCTCTCTAGTTCTGTTCCCTCAGAGAGCTGCTTGTTCCCAGCAGTGCCAGGACAGCACTGACCAAGCAACGTCCAGTGCCTGAGGGAACACATCCGAATTTGATGTGAGGTTTCTAATAATCGAATGGGTTTAATGAAAGGAAGAAGAATTTACTTCTGCAGTATTTTGCAATAAAATCCTGCATATTAAGCAAAACCCTCTAACTATTCAGGTATTTTTCTTACAATTTGTGCTTCTCAACCAAAGCACATCCAATTTATTTTGCAATTTCTTGTATTATTTGTAACAATTGTGATTTTGCTCACTGACAAGGCAATACAGGGTTGGTCAACTCTCTGGCACAAAGTGGAATCTTCCCCAAGAACTGACAGGCAGTCTCAGAGCTTCCATTCACAGATAAATTTCTGAACAGTGTCCAATCCCAGATACTTCAAAGACACCCAGAATCAACAGCAAGGACTGCAACACATCATAAAAGGAACAGCTCCCTTGCCTTCATTTGATGTTTATTCTTGCTCTCGAGGCTGGTGGGTTTGACTCTCAGACAAATCATGTAAAACACTGATGTGAATGTTTTCTTACATGTGTACTTTTGTGTCCTCAAATGTCCATTTTACCACCTTGAGATTTAAATTTAAAGAGTCTCTCAGGCCAACATGGTCTCAAGCTGTGACAGCAAAGGCTCAGGCTGGACCTCAGAAGGAATTTCCTCACAGAATGGGTCATTAGACATTGGAACCGGCTGCCCAGTCAGGTGATGGAGTCACCATCCCCGGGGGTGTTTAACTTGGAGGTAACACGCAGTGCCATGTTCCAGTTACAAGGTGGTCACCAGTCAAAGACAGGACTCAATGATCTCAGAGGCCTTTTCCAACCTAAATGATTCTGTGATCCTGTAAAACATACTTTACCATCCCTGAAGCCACAAGGGGATCCCCAGTGAACCTACATGAAAACACCAAGCAACTCCTGCACTGTGACTTTAGGGCTGTTTTCTGAGTCAGTGTCCAAGGCTCTGAGCCCGCCTGCCTGCCTGCCTGGGGTGGTTGAAACGTGCCCTTTGTTTTTTCTAAAGCCAAGCCAGCGGGCATGCTCCTGCCGGGATGAACCAAGAATACATTCACTTGTCATCCCCAAGCAGAAAAAACCCCGCACTTTCACAAAGCTCACTGTAACAGCAGCATGAAGAACGCGGTTATATCATTGCAAATGACCTACCTGTGACCTAATGCATTTGTGAAGAGAACAGGAGAGCCCTCCTGTGTGCCTGCGGAAGCACCTTCAGCACTTCCTCAAGAAAGTGGTGGGTAGTGAGTGTTAATCATCTCTTCTGCCTGGCGAGAGGATTTTGGAAAGAAGCGGGAGGTACGTGGGACCGGTGGGTGCTACAGGGAATCGCTAAACCAGGCCCCCGAGCCTGCTCTGCAGGAAAGCCTGCCCCTTCTCCAGCTGCCTTTCCTTGTCCTCCAGCCGCTGCAGCCCCTGGTTCCGGCGGAACTCGCGGCGGACGGAGGCGAGGTAGAAATCCCGGTCGGTGTAGCGCAGGCCGCGGCCGCGGCGCAGCAGAGCCCGGTACAGAGTCAGCACCGCCTCCCGGGACCACGCGGCCATGGGGGACAGCTGTGCGGCGCGGGCGGGCGACCTGCAGAGGAGTGACCGAGGGCGGGATCCGGGTCAGCTTCTCCCTTCCCGAGAGACCCGCCGGCCGCCGCTGCGTGACGGGCCCCGCTCGGTGCTGGGGCCGCCTGTCCAACGGCGCGGGGCAACGGCCGGGCCGGGGCGCGGGGCCGCTGCAGCCCCGCGTGAGGAGCGCGGCCGCCCCGCTCTCACCGGGCTGCGCGCGGGGCCGCTCCGGGGCCGCTCCCGGG